ATTTTAACTCGACGCGTTCCCACGCTGCACTTAAACAGAATTAACCTGTTCAATGAAAACTAGAATGTTTATGTTTACTCATAAATTACGTTAGTGTGTTGCGTTCTTGCAGATTCTCAACCACATTGTTATATTATGTTGTTAACTTCCTGGAATACCGTTTATGTTCTTAAAATTATTTATGGTTTTAGGTTTAAGGCGTAATTATTACTCACACTCAAATAATATTATTATTTCGTTGCTACATTTTTAACAACCCATAACCCAAATATACCCAAATACTTGTCTTTGACTGTATTGATATACAGTCATAATGGCATGGTAACGATGTCGTATGACGAACTATCCGGCTGATCACCTCCTGGTGAGCCCAGGAAGAGGCAAGGTCGGCGTCCAAGCGTGAAGTTCCGGCACCATAGACGCTACTTCGTGTTTGTATAGCAAATTTATACCAAGCTTACATTGTTGTTACTACATACATAGATGACATTCTGTTGTTTGGTAATTTTGGAGATATTTCTTTCACATCTACCTATTTGGATGTTGGTTCAGTGGCAGAACATACATAGTTTGTTCCTGAAGTAACAGTTATCCAAGCGTGTTTATTTTTTTTAATCAACAATTACTGTTTTGAATGGGCTACAGTGCCTCGCTCTGACCAAGTGTTGGCTCGTACGCTGTGTTCGTCTAAAGCGGAAGCGAGCTGAACCATAACAACGTTGACGGCTGTTTCTGTTTCTGACAGTTAACACTAATAAACTGGTTCAGATGAAAACTGAGATGAAATAGGAACATGTTTCTCTGTAATTCTAAACTTAAGCCAACACCGGTTGTTGCTGCTTACTTGCATAGGTACTGCTCTAGGGCTGCCGGAACCATTTTTTGAAAAATAAATTCATTGCCTGCATACTGAAGGGTTGTTTTGTTATTGTTGTTTATTTTGTTCGTAGTTTTGTAGAAACATGCTGCAAATTGATAATGATGTTAATTTTCGATTGAATTTAGTTCGTTCAATTTAGTTAATTACTTTATAACTAGATTTTTGCTGTTGTTATACACACATATTATTATGTATAACAACGGTTACGATACGGTTTAGACGTTTGACCCCCCAGATGTATGAACCTAGATTGTTTGTATAAAATCACACGTTTGCTTACCTTTTTAGGAGAGAAAAATTTACGGGCATTGGTCGTCGATCGTTTCATGACCGTCGGGGCCATATGTTTACGATATAAATACCTACAGTGATGCGTGCGTGTACCGGCACATGATGAATGCCAGAAACCGCCCACACCGATTACATTTTTCATTGAAACTAAAATATAAACGCATAAGACTTTGGCGAGACACAAATGCAATTAAATCTTATCGCTAATTAATACGATATCTTTTCGTAATAGAAAGTTACCTGACAACCTTAGCCGCTTGACCTAGATTCAAGATCACCATTCAATGGTTACCATAGTCACTGTGTTTGTTTGATTCAATAATGTTTACTACACATAAACGAAATACGTTAGTGAGCCAGTCGGTAGATCGGCACGCATTGTGTACGTAAGATAGTTACATTAACGTTACATCAATCAGACCGTCTGAAAAGTACCTAGGTGTATGAAGCTTGATCGGAACTGCGCTTTTAACCAAATCACCCGAATCATTGTACTTTTCATACAGCCTGTCGCTTAACTCGTTAAAAACTGACGAGATTTACGTTTTTGTATAGGAATCTTTCACGAGTGTTCTATATCTTTAGGTGCCATATTTATTTAACAAATTATCACTATTGATAAGGACAATTTGTTTAGGTGTGGTTCGCCGCTAATTGTTGACATTTATATTTGTGGTGACAAATAAATGATCCGTAAAACTATACGTATTTTATTGAATAAATTCATTCATGTTTGGCGGTTTGCGATTATTTTGGAACCGTTACTAACGTGGATAACAGAAAATGTGATCTACTGTGACCTGTGATAAACTTCGAGTACGGTAATTAAAAGTTACGATGACATTAGGTCACAAAATGAGAATCGTCCGATACCAGATGACTTAATTATTTATGTCGCTCTAATTAATTAGGCGTTGATAGATATATTCATGAAAATTACTAAAATTAATATTAAAACATTTAAAACCCTCACTACAACTACCGCTGGACTTGTAATTGTAGAATTGTATTTTCAATACGGCGTAAATATTTTAGTTTTTAGTTATTTATATTTTAAGTCATTTAGTTTACTTATTTAGTTTAAATTATTATAACAAACAAAAATAAATATGTTATAATTTCCAATATTTATGTATCTTAGGTATCTTATATGTTGTAAGTTAGGTCTTTTAGACTTTACGAGTTAAAATTAAAAGAATACTCCGATAAATATCAATGTCCAATGATGTCCAATGATATTGTTTGATGACAAAATTTTATATGTACTGTCTGTCGGAAATGTGCACTTGCAATTTGCAACATAGCAAATGCTAATCTATGTGGTAATATGCGTGGTAGTATTGTACTAAGATTTATTGTACAATATATTAATACTAGTCGTGTGACATTCCAGGCTGACTGATGCGGTGACACTGTGACACAATGGATGCGGCGGACAAGCGAATGCTGGAGCGGGAGGCGCTCCGCAACATGATCCAGCAGTGGAACGCTAATCGCCTTGATCTGTTCGCGCTCAGTGAGCCCAATGAGGTAACATTATATTATATACCTTATCACTTCCTGCATGAGGTATAATTTCCTATTTTGCGATTTTTATGACCTTACGACATATTTAAATTAAACGACTCTCTATTTAAACAATAATGTCTACGTTTTTAAATTGCCAATGATATTTAACGATCATTTTATGTCTGGCTGCCAGTTTCAATAAGTGACCATCGCTAGCATTGTAACAGAGACATATTTTATCATCACATATTAAGATTTTTTGGTGAAGTCTTTTGAGTCTTTATCTGCTGCTTGATATAATATTAGTAAAAAAGTTTCACATTATTATTAAAAAGTAAGTAAGTCATCTCTTTTACAACAGTTATAAATAAAGCGGTCACGGACACGATCGGATACACATTAGTAATCGAATTTGTGACGACATTCAAAAGACGATTGATCCCCGCTAATCCCGGAAATAATCTCTTCCGGAATTAGTATACCACTTGACCTACCTGTGCACAAACTATTATATTATTTGTACTATTAAAATTATTATGCAATCCATTTATATTATGTATTGATTTTATAAGGTTTTATCGACTAAAATAATACAAAATAGACATTCCAGGATTTCTTTGAATTACCAACTACACGTTGCGTTACTAATAATATTACATTTAATTTCATTTTCTTTAGCTAGAGACGTAGAGTATAAATAAGTTCGTAGATAAGACATTACATAATTCTTATTAATCTTGAACTCTAATAATACGACTAAAATAAACTTGAAGAATACTGGATCCGTCTTTACCTGTAAGCAGATCTAATCCCTCTTTAATCCAACTTACTAGATTACAAATACTGTACAAAGTAAAGGCAACAAAGCTAAACCAACGCCTTTGTTTCAAACATTGTAAAGCGTGTCATGCAAATATGTTTGATAAATAAATATTTTGCAAGATAATACAACCGATGTGTAATGTGTTATCAGCATAAAACCAAATGAGATAATTTATTTATTTTGTTGAATTTAAGAATGAATTATTTATTTATGGGATGTGATGTTGTTCTTTTCAGAATCTGGAGTTTCACGGTGTGATGCGATTCTATTTCCAAGATTCAGGTCAGAAGATAGCAACGAAATGTATTCGTGTCGCCTCCGACGCTACTGTGAGCGATGTCATAGGTGAGACCTGACTGCCTATTTGAGTTGTAATGCGACTTTAACGACGTAAAGATGTTTTCACCGTACCACAGCCACTAACGTAGCTACTAGCAATTCCCTTAACGGTGATAAAGTCTGACTTTTCTTTGAAATTATCCTCTGACTACAAATTCACGTACGTAATTGTACTGAAGAAAGTTTCTATTGTTTGAACTTTTTAATTTGGAAACTTTGTTATTTAAAAGAGGGGTTGAAAATGTTGAAATATAATATTTCTGGAGAGACTGCGAAATAATTTATTCGTTACGATAACAAAGAATGTTTCCATTTTTGTTTGAAAGTCATAATTTCTATAAAGTTTCATCGTTTGTTTTGAGCGTAACTAATTTAAAATTAATCAACCGCTTCTCCATGTGTCAGTAAAGTCAGCAATTACCGATGGTAAAATTAATTGTTATCTTTCAAACTTTTATAATTATATTTGTTTCTATTCTTAATGGAAGTCTACATAAATGCGGGACGTGACGTTTCGCTTTTGGAAACGGGATAGTAAACCTTTTCCCTGTAGTCTCATCAAGAAGTGGCAAAGTGCTATTAAGTTGGACCTAATAGAATAAGCCGCAGAAGGCAGTATATTCAGGGTAATTATGATGGAGTGGTGCAGCCAACTAGTCACCCCTTTACATACCGACATACTTGATAATTAACGAGTCTGCACAACCGGATAACGGAGTTGATAACTTGCTATTACAAAATATAAACAACTTGTACGTTACTAACCTACATCTGTGGAATGTAAATTTCCGCACGTACAGTCTTATAATACATTTCTTAGAGATGATTTACTTAGTAAGCTCGAATCTGTTTAGGTATTATCTAATAGTTTACATATAGGAACAATCTAGTTTACCTAAATCTTGCTGGTGCCTATGTTTAATCTCAATTGCTATAAACTTTACCTAAATATCTCGGTTTGCTATGCTGATGTTTGTCCCTATAAATAGAATACATAGTATTGCAAATACAAGGCTATCAGTACAATTGCGTTCAATGAAATGCCGCACTTGACAGACTTCCTCGAGATTACGGATTGATCCACATAGTATGTAAATGTAACGTAATCATAATTATTGTTGTTTGGCAGAGACTTTAATCGAGAAGTTCCGTCCGGACATGCGCATGTTGTCGCTGGGCTCGTACTCTCTATGGGAGACGCACGGGCCGGACGACGAGCGCAAACTGGAGCCGCACGAGAAGCCCCTGTTGGTGCAGCTCAACTGGCATGCCGACGACAGGGAGGGGCGGTTCCTACTTAAGTGCCTTAGCAACAACGAGGTAAGCCTGTTCTAGTATTTTCAAATATAATATTGTTTTTATAGTACGGCGGTGGCAAGAATAGCACACGACCCTCCTGATGGTAAGCGGTTACCGTGGCCTATGAACGCTTGCAACACTGGGGGCATTACATGTGCCTTATGCCTTGCCGACCCTTATAAAACCTATTTATTCCCTTCATGAAGAACCCCATGTTGTAGCCTACTAGGAAAACCTCAGCAGGGGTTCATTCCACAATCAGAGGATTATAATATTATAATCTATCATCCCTGAAACAATTAATAAAAAACATGTTAACAAAAGTTTCTCAAACAGTGCAGACAACATGATAAGATACATATTAGGGTTTTCTTTGAAAATGTTAGACAATGATAAACATTTTACAATTTCATTTTCCTTTCAGGTTCCGTTGTCGGCTATGAACGACAAAGGAGACCAAAACTTCAAACGAAAACTATCAAAACGAGAGAAGAAAGAACTGAAGAAAAAAGAAAAACTATCGAGACTTAAATCCGACACGAACGATGAAAACAGACCAGTCGCTGAGAAACTTTATACAGGTGACCACCGTGACTATAATAGATTGCTTACTTATTATTATGGAAAGAAAAAACATTTACGACAATGAAGTGATACTTAAACGAAATATTATTTATTTATGTGTATTTATATGGATTCTTAATAAGGAATATACTATACATATTAGTTACAGTTTACAGTATGACAAAGTTACAACATGTATAATAAAAAAAATATAGATTTGTTCTATTATACACAGTTATAGAACTATGATGATAAAAAACAATATAGCTATTCTTTGTTATCCATCTGTAAAACTCAAAGATGTTCAAGCAATAAGTCCTAAAGTCTTCAAAATGTGGCACAATGAATGAAGGGTTAAACTTATACTTATACATTTCGGTCATAACTTCCTCATTACAATGTAAATGCAATAACGAACACCTAAATTAATATTCAGATTATATTAAGGATTTCTCAAGATTATGATTCATATGTTTACAATGCATGAGGGAAAATTTTCTTGTTTCTTTTGTCTTGCAAGGACAATAAGCTGGTGACACATTCTGTTATACAAAGGCATATACTTAGTTGGAACTCGAAGTAACCTGGATCCATGATAAGCATAGTAAATATTTATATTCATTCATGTCTTTTTGCTTAAAACTGTAAAATACTAAATAACAAACTTGTTATGACGTGATTCATGTAATATTGATGACAGAATTCAATGTTTTGGACTGAAAACTAAACTTTGGGTGTTACAGCCTACATCAATATTTGTTTCGGGATTCTACTTAATTAAAAATATAGGATTTTAGACTTTGAAAAATACAAAAACTTTGAATGTGGGATATAACGGCACAAATAAAATTTCGGTCACCTGGAACTTACAAGAGAGCGATCCAGAGATGCAATGTCATGGACATAGAATTCACAATAACTCTATCAATATTTTTGCATTACACAGAACTGCCAGAGACGTCATTCATGCGCAGCATAAGTAACCCCGAGGCGGTTATGCGTCGTCGTCGGCAGCAGAAGCTGGGACGAAAACTGCAGCAGTTCAAGTCCAAGGATGGAGGACCTGATACCGGTAACTAAAGCATAAATTTAATATAGTATTAAGTATAGGAAAGCAATGCTAATCATATTTATAACTTGGCTCATAAAAATATTCGTAGTTACAATGAAATGAATATGATTTGTTACCATACAACTCCAATGTTCCTCAATAGACAAACAAATTCTGTTTTTGACTCTTATACCAAATAAGAAAGTTTTTTTTCTTTGGTAAACAGTCTCCAAAACGATTTTGTCGACTATACTGCCAGCGTCAAGTGGTGACGGCAATTTAAGTATATTTTCAATGTGGATACTCATTTCAAAGTAACATTGACACTATGAACTTGACATTTGAAATAGTGGTGTGGCAGTATTTAACAGAACATCTGCTATCTTGTGAGTAGCATGCAATGCAATGTAAGTGGTTAATAGTGACAATTGACTGTTTGATGAGTCACCGACTTCGCCACGCTAGTCGTAGACAGCTCACGCATCTTAAATTAATATTGTGAAATAAATTATGCTTGCATCCGTTGTCTTCCTGTATTGTTGTACGAGTTGGTATTTCGCTTAAACATTCCGCATGTAGGAATAATTGTCATTCTTAAATACAGTTTGCTTTTGAATGTCAGAACACCAGATCCATTTAGTAATATTACTGTTGAGGCAAACTATGTTTGAAATATAATACCAATACAAAGAGAAAAATAACTTGGTAATATAAGAACTGAGAATACCAGAACAATGCTAAAGAGTTTAGTTATGTGTGTCACTCAGAACTGTATTGAATGTTTTTTAAGTGGTCTCCTGCGAATCCATGATGCGATGACATTCCCTAGCTACTTATAATATACAGAGAATAACCAACGCAACAGACACATTTAACCATTTTAACTTTAAGAAGTTATCTTATCAGTAGTTTATTAAAAAAAAATATTTAACAATGTGTGTGCTTGTTCTTTGACATAAAAAAACCCAAAGAAAAGTTCTTAGTATTATTTATGAATTGTTCTTATTTAATATATCGATTTTATTTACTGAATTCAAAAAGGATGAAGTTATCAATTCAACTGAAACTTCTTTTAATATTTAAATCAACAAATCAGATTTGAAATCTGTATCAAAAACAGAATGTCACCATTTAAAATTACGTGTATAGTGAAAGTTCCCTTCGAAATACCGTTTATTTTCATATAATTATATACTAAGTTTTTATATATGATGCAGGTGGTACCCTCCGAGTGTACGGTTCGATACTCCGGCCCGACGTGTCGTACGTCACGCTACTGCTATCAGTCAACGACTCAGCTGCCACCGTCCTGAGAGAGACGCTCGACAAGTATGGCATGTCATACCAAGATCCACAGCAGTTCTGCATCGTGCAGGTAATGTAACCTCCTTTTACTTGAAGCTAAACCCATGGTATGCCGAGAGCGTAGATATACGCAAGACACAATGTGTTTTCTATTGTGCCTCATATGCCGGCCGACAGATAAGAGGTTAAACATGCGAATAGAGTGTGTATATTAAAGTTTTACACCAGTTATGTTACCGACCCGTATGAAGCGTAAGTCTACTGAGCACAAGTTCGGGTTATTTGTTACTGGTACATGTCCACTTTTCTAAGTACCTACTGATATTTTTCGGTAATTAAAATTACTTGAGTTGCTTTTGCGACCATTCTTAAGTGGCAAAGCTTTGCAAGATAGTAGTTGTAAAGCTTAGCTACTATTAACTACAGTAATAGCAAGAAGCCGAAGTATTGCGCCCAGTGTATCGCACTTCTATCATTTAGATTGATTGTGTAACTCGTAAAAGTGTTCTTTATCATAATTATGTTTTGTATCCTAATCATGTTATGTTAAGAAGGTACGTGATTCCTTTAGTTTCCGACCGCTTACAACACCCGAGCACGAGATCCAAGTTTATTAAGTTCGGGGAATCAAAAGAGAGATTAGTTATTCGGTTTTTCTGGCTAATTCTAAGGAGAAACAAGAAGTTTGAATTCGAACTTGGATTACTATCCGGTACAGTCGCGGCAGCAACTTACAACTAATTACATAACTTGTCAAAAATAGTATACTTAGTAATCTGCTTCCTACTAATATTATAACTGCAAAAGTTTGTGAGGATATAATAATATATTAGTTACTGTTTCACGCTAAAACTTAATTATAGTTTGGAATAACACATTGACTACTTTATACCCGAGTAACGCTGCCGAAGCCGCTTTCGAACTATAATTTTCCATACAAGGAAAATTGGCTCGGTAATACATCTTGTATTCATATAGTAATAATAATTATAGTAGTCAAATTAATGACATTAATCACTATGGAGTACTTACATAAAGGCAAGGATGTCGTGACCGAAACTAGGCTATTACCGCGCTGAGGGACCAAAATTTTATTGATCCTTCGACCTTCGTGTAAGGCTATTCATATTGCGGAAAGATACACACATTTGCCAATGAAACAACGAAATCGGTTTGCGTACTTTTTTGATGAATGATTTCTCACTGCTTCGCTGGTCGAATTTATGTAAGAGTCCAGTAAATGGTCTCGGACGCAATTGCCCGGGTCAATGTAAATCTAAAGTTTTTCGGTTCGAAAATTTCTTGACACAAAGTCTGGAGTTGAGTCCGCAAAATATGGAAATAGTTGTGCCCTTTATTATATAGAAATAATAAAAGCTGTCGTGTGATGGGTGTGCCTGCAGGCATAAATATAGTTTATTATAACAAAGTATATAAAGCGTGCTATTATTTTATTAATTCTACTAGCTTCTGTTAGCGGCTTCGTTCGCTTCCCGGTATAAAAGTGACTAACGTGTTTTCCAAATTATCAATTCCGTTCAGTGACCAATATTTGTACGGAAGAGTACCTATTTACGAATATTGATACATCCTTACATTTTAGTAGAACCAGGATCAATCCAAGTGCCATGTAACTAAATGTGTATTCTGTTTATAGGAGGACAAGACCGACAATTCGGAATACATCTTAGAAGACGACGAATGCCCGCTCGCGCTCATGAATATGACAAGAAGTAAGTACTGCATGCTCATAATCTGTTTAATAATTTCAACAGCTCATTTCAAAGTGCTATATCGTTGTTTAACGGTTAATGGATGCGGTGACATAACTTCTATTCATCCCGCGGGTGTTTTAAGAGCTAACCAAGGGACTACTCCTTTAAATGAGTCCGAATTGCAGTACACGCTGATAAGTCCAATCTCTTTCTTTACCTAAACCGCAATGTTCCACCTGATTATAGGAAGCCTTTTTGTGGAGAGGAAACCTGTGGTCTAGCAGTGGACTTCAAGAAACGACACGCTGTTTATGACAAAAACTTTACTACTGTTTTTAAACAAACAGGCCTTTTTAAACAAACTATTTTTAAAATGTGGACGAACAATGACATGCTCATGTTACAACTAATATTATCCAAAGTACAATAAAGAAAACAACTGAGCGTTGTTCCATCGTTTACAAATTATGCGAGGTCGCGTGCCAGATTATGTAACGCCTGTATAAAGACGGCGGTATTGACTGGCGATTAGGCGAAATTGACTTTTATATTTACTGAGAAAATGTGATTAATGAGTTTTGGTTGTCGGCTCGGTGCCTCTCTCGCGTAATGTAATAGCTTATGGTAAGCGACGCGAACTTGTTGGCCCGATTGCTTGCCGCTTCGTTAGCGACGCTAGTTCGCTGCGAATATTAAGTTTAGCAACGCCGACGGTCGCGTTGGGTGCATTAAGCGGATCGATAAATGTCTATTTGAATAAAAATCGGTTATTGTTACAGTACCTATATTGAAACAGTATCCAAGATACATAAGTAAAGCTACCTTATTTCATAAAATTTTAAATAGCTACAATGTTTTATTAAAAATATGCTATCCTAGCTACTCAAGCGAGCTGCAGAGAACAGCGTTGTTTAGACTTCGTGCAAAGTAAAAATGAGATGACAGCGCATGAGCTACTTGACCTATATGGTAGCAGTGGAGTTTTAAAACAATATGCACTAAGTCCCTAAGAATTGAAAATTGTACACAATATGACCAGTTTTATTAAATTTTTGTTCTAGTATTATAGAATAATATTTACCGTTACGCATTATTGCAACTTTATTTTATTTATTACACGTTCATATAGAAAACAAGTTTTCACAGAAAGGAGCGTTTAACAAGAATATTTCTTTGAACTCTGAAGTCTGAACAATATTGCATACTATAAATTACTTAGACTCGTTCATGAGATGATGTAGCTATGTCTATTTGTACCAATTTCTATCTTTCTTATTTCTTATTTCATTACCTGTCTTGTAAAAAAATGCTTATTTCGTGAAAAGAACTTTAACTTTTAGTAAAGGCCGCGGATCAATTACGTAATGAATTCTGTAGTACTTTCATATAAAAATATTCTTGTATTCAGTTTTATATGTGAGGGAGATGTTGGGTCGGATCACGTACCTGTTTTATAGTAACATCGTATTTGAACTGTGAACCCTATCGGGAGAATTTTCGATATTAAGCAATGTTGCCGGTACGATATAAACATTTGTTAAAGTTCCGGTTAAAGAATAAAAGAACATAACAGTTTATTCGTGGCTAGAATGCTGACTCAATTTTTTTTTTACAATCGTTTATTGTACAGCCGAGGTATGGTCCTCGGAGTATTTTTTGTGCGTCCTTTACAACTGTATCCGATGTCGCACACGCGGGACTGAAAGTGTAGCTTGGAAACAAAATATAACTTCAACGAACTTTCTTTCACCATTGTTGGTTTAGGTCCCTTTAGGCGGCTCCATGTAATTTACTTACAATGAAATAATTCAACATACATTGTTATCTTAATGAATTAATACGAAATTTGCTATTGATTGTGTAGAGGTCTTTGTGCGTTAAAATTAACAAAACTTATTCATTTCTCATTAGGCCCATACGAGTACCTATTGTTTTGATCTAAGTTTTGCCGTTTGTGGTTAGCGGAAAACAGAAACTGTTTTGCTAAAACTGTTTTTGTGGTTTTATAGTTTGCTTCAAACACTTGATTTCCTTCAACTACTCAATGATTTTAGTTCCAAATTACGTCACAATTCTTATATGTATAAATTAAATCCTAGAAAAAGCAACGAATATTTTAGATTATATTTACTTCGACTGCACGGTTGGTGCGGTGGCTGGGCAACCGGCTGCCGTGCAACGTGTCGCGGGTTCGATTCCCGCACGGAACAACACTTTGTGTGATCCACAATTTGTTGTTTCGGGTCTGGGTGTCATGTGTATGTGAACTTGTATGTTTGTAAACGCACCCACGACACAGGAGAAAATCCTAGTGTGGGGCAACGTTTTTTTTTTTTTAAAAAAAGATGACAATCACAAAATATTCCTTTTTAAATTTAACAGAGCCCAGACGTAACAAAAAAAAACAACGAAATTGATTTTGCGATGTCCAATCTCGTCGTTGGAATGGCACATATGACATTTCAATCGTAAAATGTCCGTGGCGAACACCGATGTAATCGTTTTGTCTCGCAGCATATAAAAAGACCGCTTGACACTTTCTATTTCGATGTAAGTTATAAGTACATACGTTACTCCGAAACTACATTTACGACTGAAATTACTCCTAAATATTTATACCAAATTATGTGGTTTCGTTTCCAAATCAAAGAAATACAGTTCTCTTCCGATTTTACTCTCTGTTTTTGTAATATAATTTTGTAACTGTTCTTCAAGATTATCCGATAGAGAATGCTTACGTAGATAGATACAAAATTGTCAAACATGAATTAATGAACGCAACGAACCAGGACGAGTTTCAGACGAAATCCATCTAAGCGAGACTGTAAATGATGTTAATTATTTATGATAAAATCCACGAGGACGGTTTAATTGGATTCAAAAGTAAAGCTTATTTTAATTGTGGAAAAAATCGTTACGTAGGTGCTGTTTTACCTAGGCTTAGCAAATTATGATTTTAGTACCTATAAACTTACGTTAAATGTTCACGTGCATATCTAATAATAATTTTGCGTAGGTACATCCGTAATATGCGTACATATAAATGCATAGTCATGTTCTTCATGTAAATCACCAGGTTAAAGGCTTGCTTGCCTAAACCAATTTTAACTAGATTACTTATACCATGACATGATCGTGTTACTTCTTGTTTATTTATAAATATCATCCAACATGATGAAGACAGGTACTTAAGTTACCAGGCCCCAAAAGTTTGACACAAGATGTCCGATGTCAATATAACTGAAAAGTCCAAATAGTCTCCAGATCCACATTCTATTCGTTCCAACTTAGAGAGCAAAAGTTTGTTCATTACTTAGTGAACTTTTGTTTCACGGCAAATATCGAAATTGAATCTCTCGCTGTCCGATAGATATCGAGATGAGATTTGTCCCCCGAGTTGATCTGGGATGTTCTAGCTCAATCGGTCATATTCATGTACTCGTGTAGACAAGCCTAGGTTAGGCAAAATTGATGCATTGCGGCAAAATTAATAACCAAAGAGCTGTTCTCGTTAATGTTTGCCTGACATGCGGTATGTAAAATAGCAGAGCATGTTTAGTTACTGAACTATTTGTGTATTCAAAATGTGACTTTAATTTTACAAGCAATACCTTCTGATTACTTAGCGACATGTTTCACAAATATAGTTATAACTGGGTATAATTGTCGACAATGTGTTTGTCTTCTATCTCTTTTATTATGGATAACACAGAGCGCTACATTACCAAACTAATCACTTTCACGTTATTACATATACATATCAAGGCTTCACACGCCGATCCTGGTTCAGACAGATCTACATTAATATGAAATCGAGTTTCATGTAGATTAGCTTATTGAATTTCAGAAATAGTTGCTTTAGAACCTTGTTGTTTGTTGAGCTTGTTTATTCAGACTGTCTAAGACCAAAAACCAGGGTAAAGATTTTATTGACATTGTTTCACTGCCAATTTTGAATAAATCTATTTATAAAAGCGTTTTATTTCATGTTGGTAAATGATATCCTTAACCTAACATTGACTTTGTATAGAAGTACAATGGTCCAATACTTCAATATAGAACATTTTATGGACATATAAAACGAAATCGAATCTTCAACGGGAAATGAGCGAGTAGGCCGTAACGAACTGTCCGATAACGCTTTTTCATCAATAAGCCCGACCTACAAATTCTTTGGTCCAAACTGAAGTTGTGGTACTCAGTATAGATACGTAGGTTGCGGGCTGGATGCTAAAGGGAGGAACAGTAATAAATTAAATTATTTAGGGTAAAAAGGCTTTTTGCCTAAGACCTGTCTCAAAACTTCATAAAGAATATTCCTCTTGAGGGTTCCAAGTTTCCTAGAAGTATTCAATTGTCGCCATTACGATGACCGCACGATTAGTTTTTCCACTTTCAAAATATAACACTATCAATAAATTTATTAAATCTACACGGTAGCTTACTAATCTGTGAAATACCACTACATCGCAAATACAAAAATTATTATATATGAGATAAAGGATGCTGATGAATAAAGGAAGAATGCTCAGAAAGAATGAATGAAGAATGAATGATGAATGAAACAAAAAAATAAATTGGTAAGAATTTCAAAATTAGGTCCTCTCATTAAAGACCAATTTATTTATAAAAATTGGAACAGATAACGGAACAACCAATGGCCCCTAATCTCGATGAGTACATACCGTAGAAGTCTTTTCCCAGAGAAACTTCATTTAATAGTTGTATTTAGTTGGTGGTTTGACTATGTCGGCATGTCCACTATTTCCGCGAGAAGGTTTTTCTTGGATCGGACAATGCTCGCAGCGGCTCACAATGGGAATACATGAGAGGGAACGTGCGGGCGCAGGACGCGGCAGTCGCCTCGCAGACGCCGCGCCACGCGCCTCACTTACCGCGCGCCTCGACATGGATTGGGGCCTCCGCCGTAAGTTCGCACGAGAAAACTTTTTGTTCAAAATTTGCAATGTGATCACCGGCTAGGTCCTCCGCGGCCACCGCCGGCGCCGCAGCCGCGA